TTTCTGGAAAATAAATCAGAAATTTTTGAAGACTGTAATTTCAACAAATTGTCATGAAGAGGAAATATTCATACAACCGATTAAATGATATGACAGAAAATAATATTCAAGAATGTTTAAAACAAAGACAAAAGAATTTGTTGCTCACAGAAAGGATATATGGTTTCATAAATTCAAAAATAGAAGAGATAGATTGAATATTCTTTTTTTTTAAGCATTTCACCTCAAGCAAGGTGGAAGTACCATTAGCATGCAAGGGGTTACAGAGAGGGAGAGCAAGAGAAAAGAGGCACGTTTGAGGAAAGGATAAATTGGATAGGGAACTAGATCAAGGTATCAGAAGATGTCAATTGACATTACATTTGAATACTTGAAGATTATAGTTATCAGGGAAGCAAGTAAGAGGAAGGGAGTTCCACAGATGGGAAGTGTGAGATCAGAAAGAGACGGCTACATTTAATAGTTTCACAGTGAAAGGATGGGACCGCGATACCAACCTAGTAGCATGCTTAAATTCATGCAGTTTAGGAAGCAGCAAAAGTAGCTTGTCAGAGCAGTTGACATGAAAATACTTGTAGAAAAGACAGAGGGAAGCAACAGCATGTCTGTGAGAAAGAGTAGATAAGCTTTCAGATCAGGACCAATCACATTGCATATCTGGCACTGGATTCTGTCGAGGACCTTGAGATGAATAGCAGGGGCTCCAGACCATATATGGCAGCAGTATTCCATGCAAGAATGAATGGTTGATTTATAGATTTGAAAACTGGATTCAGGCGAGAAAAACTATTCAGCTTTCCTAGAATGTTGAAAAAATTCTAGGAAGTGCCATGTTAAAAACCAATAATATTGAGTAATTTCACACTGGCTAAAACTTGAACATCAAGCAAGGGGATAATGCCACTAAGATGCAGGGGATTACAGGGAGTGAGAGTGAGAGAAAAGACTGGATATTGGTAGATTGAGGATTGGATAAAAGCTGAATGGGATTCAAGAAGATTGACATTGCATTTAAATTTTTGAAGATTGTAGTTATCAGGGAAGCATGTAAACAGAAGGGATTTTCACAGGCAGGAAGTTTGAAAAAAACTGTTGGAATAGAAGTGGTGGTTGCATTTAGCTATTTCAACAGTAAAAGGGTGGGACCTAGTTGGCAATCTAGTAGCATGCTTAAATTCATGTAGTCAGGGTACTAAGGGAAAAAGCTTGCCAGAGCAATTGCCTTGAAAATATTTGGAGAAAAGACAGAGGGAAGCCATGTCATGTCAGTGAGAAAGTGACTGAAGTCGAGATGCCAGGTCTGGATTGATTACATTGCAGATCCTATTTAGGAGATGAATAGCAAGAACATCAGACCAGATATGGCAACAGTATTCAATACACAGACAAATTGTAGATTTGTAAGTGTGCAAGACGAGAAAAACCTTCTGGCACGACACAGTGACCCAACTGTCCTTGCAGTAGATGCAGCTATTGATTTGACGTAGTCGTTCCATTTCAAGTCAGTTGAAAACATGAGGCCAAGAAGGCACATTCTAATGCCACGTCCTTTCAAGAAGGAGACAAGAAGGCACAGTGTGTTCCTCTCCAGATCTTAACAAGGAGTTTAAGGTAAATAGCAAAGGTCAACAAGCCACGGGTGGGGCAGCTATGTTCTAAGCATGGATGTCTGGTTCTTATTTTCATTTAGTATTGTTCAGTTATTGCTCACCCATTTCTACCGAGTGCAAGTACACACTGCCCACCTCTGGGATTGAACTCACATAATGATAAATTCTCAGCATAGAAATTTAGACAAAGATTCAGTTCGTTCATAATGTATTTAAGTATACATTATTGAGAATGAAATAAAGGATATTAACAAATAAATTGAAAGATTATTCCTATCAGCTCTTAAGAGATTTAAAAATCTAAGTCCCTGGTGTCCTATCTGACCAGTTGAAAAATCTGAATATGTGATGTTAGTGCAATTTGATATATCTCAAAAACAGGAGGCATAGTGGACTAATGGATTGTGGCTCGGATTGAGGAATGTGAGAGCAGAGTTTGAATTCCATCAGAGTTCATAGCATTCCCATGTGCTAATACCCTTCGGAAAGGGTATTAATCTATCTCTTCCCCCCCAGCTATTGTTAAATAGCAGGAGTGATTGGAGCAACCTGTCTAAGACAAGGAAAACTGAATTCAAACCACCTGCTGCCTTGGAGGTTTTGCCTCTTTAACTTCCGACAGGAGGGACACCAGAATTTCCGAAGGGACACCATTGCTTTGAACAGGAGGGACATCGTGAACTGCCGACAGGAGGGAATTTTTTTAAAACTAATTTTTCAGGAGGGACATGATTTGATTTCCCGACAGGGTGAGGACAAAAACGACAATTTTGTAACTTTTACTTTGTGCAAAAAGAAGTGGCAAGCAATAGCATTATTCTGCTTTGAATGTTACCATGTACAACAATTATGAAATGGGAGAAGTGTTGTGACGACAGCAGCGGAAAATGCATTAACTGAATTAATGACAAATGATCTGGAACTAGAAGTCTACCCAAGTGAGCAAAATAAAGGGTTCAGTTCAACATTCCAACCACCTGAAGAAAAACCGAGCGCATGATACTGAAAACTTTGTAATAAATATGGTGACAAAGATGAGGACAATAGTTCAAATAATGTAAATAGTGAATTCAACATGTTTTTGCAGAATATCTGTTTTATGGCAGCAACAGTTTCTATTGCATGCTGGGAGAACTTTTTACTATTTTTTTTTATTTAATTCAAACGTTTTCATGTTTCATTTTATTCATGATATTCATTATTATTTTGTTTTTTTTTAATAATAATAATAATAATAATAATATCCCTACATCCTCCACTGGCTCAGGGGTCATCAAATGGGTTCAGTGAGGAGTTGCTGAGTGTCAATGATAGTCAAGAGAGTTGTGCAAATGAAAGTGAGCTAAATTTTAGTTAGTGTACATGTGTAGTGCCTTAGTAAACATAACATCAGCAGTATCCCCCGAGAGTATAAAAACAGGTGAAACTTTAAGTAATTCTCTTTCTGTTATTATCAACTCTCTTCTCCCCAGATTTATTTGTAAAACTTGTATTACTAAAACCATTATTATACCCCAAAAAATAAAATTGCGTGCAAAATATTTAAATTTTAGCATAAAATAATCCATAGTAGTTGATATGCAGCTAAAATCAACACAAAAAACACAAACACAAAAATACAAAACACAAACACAAAAATACAAAAAACAAACACACAAAAAACAAACACACAAAAAACAAAAAAATACAAAAAAACAAAACCAAAAAAAAAAAAACCAAACAACCCCCACCCAAAAAAAACAACCAACCAACAATAAAATGATTAGACCAAGCTATCAATCTAGTACTATGCTTAAAATCATCAAGTCAAAGTACCGAAGATGCAAGTTCATCAGAACAATTGTCATAAAATTATTTATAGAGATGGTACAGGGAAGCCATGATAGAGCAGTATGAAAGTGACTGGAGTTGAGATGCCAGGTCAGGATCAATAGTATTGCAGATTTTTCTCTAACAAATCAACTCTAGAGAGATTCAAACCTGGATCACTTGGTCGGAATAACATTCTAACCAATCAGCCATGAACCTACTCCCTGGATACCTATAACATTTGTAAATGAAGTGGTAGCATATCTAGTGAGGAGCAAGTGACTAAACTATCAATGGCTTTCATGAACTTACAGTTACATCAAGCCATTTCAACAGTAACATAAGACCTCGATGCCAATCTAGTATTACACTTAAATTCATGAAGTTACCAAAGAAATCTCATCAGAACAATTGCCATGAAAATATTTATAGAAATGGCACAGGGAAGCCGTAATACAGCAGTGGGAAAGTGACTGGAGCTGAGATGCCAGGTCAGGACTGGTAGCAATGCAGATTTTTTTCTCTAACAAATCAACTCTAGTCAGATTCAAACCTGAATTCACTTGGTCAGAATAACATTCTTACCACTCGGCACTTCCCAACAGTGCCACACACTGGGTCAGCTCTCTAAATGATGATCCCAGGAATGATCCTTATCAAGAAGTAACCTGTTTTCATTTCATAATCATTTCACCCCAAACAAAGCCACAAAGATACAAGGGGTTCCCGAAAGTGAAAGAAACTGAGAAAATATTATTGAGGAGAAAGAACGAAAGAAACAGGATAAAAAAAAAAAAAAAAATTAAAAAGACGGTAAATGACGATTGACATTGCATTTAAATTTTTGAAGATTCTAGTTGACAGGAAAATGAGAGAAACTGGAAGAGAGTTCTATAAATGAAATGTAAAAAGAGAAGAAACTATTTAAATAGAACTTACAGTTACATCGAGCTATTTCAACAGTAATATAAGACCTCGGTGCCAATCTAGTATTACACTTAAATTCAGGAAGTTATCAAAGAAGAAAGCTCATCAGAACAATTGCTATGATAATATTTATAGACATGGCACAGAAAAGCTATGTGACCACAATGAGAAAGTGGTTGAAAGACCAATGCAAAACATTTATGCATTCCCTTTCTCACAAACCTTTTTCTTGGTCGGCTATACTAATGTGTAGTGCACCAATAGCTTGATCTTTAGAATGTTATTCTGATCTTTATATTTCCGATACAGATTCCGCTTCCAATTCTGAAGCTATCATCCAAAAGAGGTCAAAGAGGAAAGTTATCTGGTCAGCCGAATCATGACAATGTTTGATTGTTATTTTTAAAACAACTGTAAATTCATTGGTGCAAATAATGTGCTGGAAGCATTTGATATGATGTAGTGTCTTTTGACCTTTATCGTCTCCTTGCATCAATAATGGTCAGTGCATTTGGCAGCAAAAGTTGGCAGATCGGGAAATGGAGAAAACTTCTTTAAATACCAAGTATCTTTGCATCTTGCACAAGGTGGAATTATTTTTAAATTTGTTTGCTCTGATAATTGATTTTAGGATAACTTTGAGTTTGATATTCTTCATGACTCATCATTCAAATAAGGATTGAAAACACACAGGACAACAATTCTGTAAAGACGCCACAATGGACAACAGGGAAAAAAAATGCCATGAGAGATTGTAACAGCAAGGACAAAAAGGCCCCAAGAGGGATGGCAAGAACAAAAAGACACCATAATAGACGTCACCAGGGAAAAAAAGTTGCCATGACAGATGTCAACGGTTAAGCCACCATGAGAGACACCAACAGGGTGGGGGGGTAACACCACAATGGACACCAACAGGGTGGGGGAAAAGGCACTACGACAGACACCAACAGGGTGGGGAAAAGGCATCACGAGGGACGGTAATGACAAAGAACAGAAGAAAACTGTAAAAAAAAAAAAAAAGAATCACATACACACACACATCACAGGTGACTTTTCTAATGATATAAACTTATTGGAACTACTGTCAAGGCAAGAATTGTTGTATAGAGGGAGGCAAGTGATTGTCTGAAATTTGGAAGTTTTGTTTCTTACACTTCCTGTCTGAAGCTTCCTTCAGATTTCTTGCTTTCCTGATTACAATCTTCAAAAGTTTAAATGCAGTGTCAGTTACCATCTTGTCTTCTTGAATCCTGTTCCTTTTTTGTCTTCTCATTCTCTTTCATTCCCTGTAACACTGCGTTCTCGTGGCATTATCAACTTGTTTAGGGTGATAGGATTAGGAAAAAAAAAAAAAAATAGAAAGACACTAAGACTTCCCTAATGTACTGTAAAAATTATACTGAAAATTTTTGAATCAGCATATGTACTTCTATACCAGACTTTTCTTTTATTGTTGTTTCGTTAACTAATTGGTTAAAAAAGAAAAAGAAAAAAGAGTTTCCCCTCCATGATACTTTGTTCTTACTTCATTACTACCTTGGAAAGCATTTAATCTGAGAAAAGTTGTAAGAAAAATTCAATATTTAAAAAAATTGGTAAATAATGAACAAGTAAGAATTATTATCATTTAATAACAAGTTTATTTTTCAATTGTACCAAATATTCTCCAATTTTGATATCTTATTTCACTAAAGTAACCCCAACATATTTGAGAAGGATATGTCGGAGTTACCTCCTCCTTCAGTTTGTAACCTTTCACCAGAGGTCTTCTTTCCTGGCTATAAATAGCCAATGACCCTTCGTCGATCTCTTTTTACTTTTCAGGCTTGTGCACTAACGCACCGAGGTAAATTTTCTTCTTCCTAGAGAATTTCAACTATCAACCTCAAAAATGTAGTCCCTAACAAGAAATAGCGTGAAATCACGCTAAGCAATAATACACTTTTTATTTATTTTACACGGAATATTCCCACACACTTTGTCCTTTGTACTGTTTTCTTGTATTGTAACTTGTTATGAATATATATTTGTTGTGTATACATATATTATCGTTCTTGTTTTGTTTGCTTTCTTTTCCTTCTTTTGACTTAACCAAGTCCAAACTTTTTTATGTAGTTGGGCCGCTAGCAGGAGAATCTGAACCTTACAGGTTTTTTCGTCCACGTCTGTCTTCTCTCAACAAACCGTAACCGCCAGCATAACAGCCACGGCCCTCTACAAATATTAGAATAATCCAGAACCTATACAAAAAGGGGTGTAAGACAAAGATGTGTCTTCTCACTTGACTTACTCAACCTATAAAATGAGGCATTTCCAAGAGAATTTGAAATGCTACTAGGATTCATTAGTTGTGGCCACAATATCAACAACATAAGATATGCAGATAACAGTGTTGATATCAGACTTGTAAAGGGTACTATAAAGAAGTCTATAGAAAGTAGTGAATGACAGAAGAAAAGACTAATCAATTGCAAGAATATAGAATGTTAGCAAAAGGGGCAGCTCAACATGCAAATTACAAATTGGGGATACTAAAATCAAAAAAAGTACAAAAACTTAAATATCTGAGAAATGTTTTAAAAGAGGATGGAAAGTGTTTCACTGAAATCTGAAAACATGTTGAGATAGCAAAAGATGCCTTCCAAAAGCTGAATCCTGGTCACATATTCACGTTAATTTTGCTGGACCCATCAAGGACAGTATTATTTTATCCGTATTGATTCATACTGCAAATAGCCAGAAAATTTTTAGATTAATCACATCACCTAGGATGAAATGATTTTTAAGTTAAAACAAATCTTGAGTCGATTTGGAGTTCCACAGATGCTAGTTTCTCATAATGGTGCTGCATTCATTTCAGATGCATTTTCAACTTTCTGTGCACATAGGGGTATTCAACACATTAAAACACCAACTTTAAAATGGACAATTGGTGCATTTTGTCAATAGCTTTAAGAGAGCACTACTCAAACTCGAAGGGGAGGCAACCACACAAGAAATAGTAGAAATATTCTTCAGAAGTTCTGGAGCTATACCCAATCCAAATGCACATAATAGAAATTCACCAGCAGAAGCACTAAGGAATCAAAGTTTGTTTACACATAGATGTCATCCATCCAACTACAAAGCAATCCCTAAAAAGTAACATGGTAATGAAAGAAAAATTTAACTGTCAACATCGAACAGTGAGAGGCAAATATGTGCCTGGACAACCTGTAACTGTAAAAAGATTACCGCAGCAGTAAAGAAAAAATAGATCCAAAGATGCATTATACATCGCTTTGGAAATGTTACGTATGACATAGATATACAGTCTTCAGTCTTTGTCACTGGATATTCTATTGGATATCTTTGGACTACCTCAACAAAGTTCCCAAGTAATGCCAAGGAACAAAGATAGGACTCCAGCAAAAAAGTGCACCAAAGAAATCCCATCGACTACAAAGTAAACCATATCTACCGAAATTAAATCCCTAACAAAAGTCATATGAGCACAAAGCTAAAAAGGGGAAGTGTTAGGGATGTTAACTTACTTTCCCCTATAAAGGACGATAACTCAAAATACAATGGAGTTATGTCCCTTGCCTGCTAGATTGAACACAGCACTTTTGAATTTAATATGCGGATATGGACATGAAATTTGTAGTTTAAATCTAAAGTAATCCTTGCTATTCTCAAGCAATAGATGAATAAATGGTATTTTATTGTGCGTTAAAATACACATCTTATTTTCATTCATTTTTATTCATCCCAAAATCCTGGGATATAACAAAATAGACAGCAAAAAAAATAGGAAGTCTACTCAAAGACATGTTTCCAAGAATACCTGTCTGATTGGGTGGTTAGCCAATCCCTGTTGCCCCAAACTGATAGACAATCTAACATGCAATTCCTTTTCTTAGCATTTGGAAAAGGAAGTTGAAAGTTTAGAGTTAAGAAATCTTTTAGTATTTCCTATTCCCTGATGCATATACAATTGACATTTGTGTGCTCGATTTCTTGGTGTGCTATGCCACCACCAAATATGACATGGTCAAAGTTTTATTTTGAAACTACCCCAGCCAATTTAGTACAGGATAGAAAATATATCACACTTGCTATCCTCACCAAACATTTGCAATAATCTGTTCAGATCAACTTTCTTGGGCATCACCCACTCACAGTTCGATCTTTCAATCAATATTCGGTAGTCAATCAATAATGCTCACTTAATTTATTGATAATGTCTATATCTTTGTTTATTTATCAACCAATCAGAAAAGAGGAAAGTAAATTAATAAGAGAATTTGACAAAGCCTCTCTTTCTTTCTTCCCAAAGTGTATATCTTCCTATAAAAAAAGACTGTTAGAATTTAGCAAAATATACTAAAATAAATACATCTGTTATAATCTGCTTGTTCATTCATTCATTAATTCCTTAGTGTTCACAACCGTTATGCCCCACCAATACCTCATAAATAATGGACTATTTCATTTTATCCATGTGAACAGAGACGCTACTTGGTTTTAGTGAGAAAATGAAAGAAAGAAGTGTGAAAAATCTTTTCATTTATACACCCTTACTTATGAATTTGTCAATAAAAATGTAAGTTTTGGTTTTCAGGTAGTAATAGTAAAAAAAAACAAAAAAACAAAACAAAAAAACTCTCTCTCTCATAAATCTAACCACCCACCTCACCAGAAAAGCCTGGTGTGGGAACTACTTGTTGATCATAATCTTAAAAATTAAGAAAAATATTCTCCATAATCTAATGTTTTATTGAATTCTAGGTACTTGGATTTAAATTTATTACAGTTAATGATCTTATTTTCTAATAATGTTATATATGGACATCCATATTTACAAAAATCAGAAAACGTTTATAAGAAAAAAAAAAAAAAAATTAAAATTTCTTTTAAAATACTGGTGGCGGCTTCCCTAAATTATAGTAAGGTTTTTCCATTTATGAAGAGTGAATATGAAGAGTTTTACTTAATAACAATATCACCTAACCACTATAAATTAATTCAAAACTTTAAAAGATGTAAAATTTTATAAAATTATTCTAAAGAAAATTTTTAACAAAATGAAAACAATTCTTGTAAAAATTCATTATAATTTTTTTTTTTCCTTAAGCCAATAATATCAATATATCTTATTCATAGAAGCAATTAAAAGCTTTTGTAATTAAATAATCTTTTAGTTTGGAGATATTAGTTTTTAGACTCAGAGCAAAATTTCTGTAACTGTGGATCCTTTTTGACAAAAAGAAAAAAGATTTAAATTCTCCAAGGACTTGTGCTTATAACTAATATAAGTATTAATCGCTACAAAAGTGAATTGCAACAGAAGAAAAAAAATGTATTTGCTTTAGTTTCATCCTTTCAAGTTCATGAATTAATTTCTTAGTGGCTGTAGATAATTGATCAAGAAAAACTTTAAAGTTTTCTTTCAAATAATTTTTATTTTCCCCAAGTACTTTCAATCTCATCTGAGGATTGCATAAATATGGATGTGTTAACACCATAAATTCCAAATATTTTTTCACTGTTATGCAAGGGAGGTAAATTATGTGATTTTTCAAAAAAATTTTTTTAATTGTAGTATTTTAACTTAGTATTTTTTTTATATAACACTTTGCTGCTACAAAACATTGAAGGACTTTGTTGCTATACTTATAGATGAATTTATTTTTTTGTCACAATTCTCTTATATGAAGCGCTTCCAGAATGTTCATTTTTTTTTTTTTGCTTATTATTATCTTGATGGAGCATTGACGAATTTTTGACTAAAATCTGTCTAGACTGAGAATGTGAACATGAATTTTCCTTTAAATTTTATGAGATTGAACCATATATATATATATATATATATATATTTTGTCTATTGTTTTTGGGGTTAAAATAATTTTTAATCTTACTAATATAAAGACCCCTTCCCGATCACCTAGGAAAAAAGGTTATTCACCCTAAGGTATTCTATTGATAATTATAAATTTGGATATAAATGAGATTCAGGAAA